CCAGGACAGCTCGGTGTCCCCAGGACACTCTGCTGGCCCAGGACAGCTCGCTGTCCCCCAGGTCCTTCCCCACAGAGCTGCTGCAGCAGCTCCTCCCCAGCCTGTGCTGTTGGTGGGGTTGCTCTTTGTTCCTTTAACCTCAGTACAACATCCAAACACACTGAGAGAGCTGAACAATGCCAGGATTTAGGTGGGGTGTGACTGGTTTAGAACAGACAAACCAATGTCCCCAGAGCAAAGCAGGTGGCCGAGATGAAAAGGGAAAATTTCAAAACACCAAAGAAGTTAGAAATAATATGGAAAAAACCCAGAAAGTTGGGAAGATGAAGAAACTGAAATCAAAGTTACACCAAAGCTCACTTGCTCGTGGTCTTCTAACTAAATTCTTCTCATCCTTGATGCTTAATACCCAACAATCCCAAAGCATCAGCTTCTCCAATACAAATGAAGTCAAATGTGTTCAACTGCCTTGTTTAAAAAAAAAATAAAGTATTACAGCATCCATACTAATAGTGGTAAAAACCCTGCTTGACTGCTGAAGTGATCTTTTAAATCTACAAGAAAACAGTCTTATATCTATCACTAAGACAAATGAATTTTTACTCCTGGTTATGAAAAGCAGCCCAGTAATTCCTGAGAAATCATGCTGAAGTGTTACAAAACTTTACTGAGTAAAAATACTTGCCTGTCTTCCAGTTTCTTTTTCAGAGGTTGAAGTATAACTTCAATTCTTAAATTCACTTTTTTTAAAGGTAGAACAATTCCAGGTAAAGGTGAACTAATACCGAATTCCACCTTGTATTCACAGCTTCTCAAAAACAATAAATGCTGTTTGTCTTCAAAGTATTTTCCCAGGAAATGTGACAGGTTTCCTGAACTAAGTGTTAGATAAACATTCTTTAGCTATGATAAATAACTGCTGCCGTCTCTTCACCACATCCTTCGCAGGGAATGCTTGGTACAGGATGCATCCTGGGTTTTAGGATCTATCTAGGATATCTGAAATGCCCCTGGATATTTCTTTCTCAACACTGTACAGGCTGGGTCACTGTGTATCAGTGTATGGCTGGGAGTGCTACAACAAGAGAGCTGAACCAAGGAGAACCCAAACTGTTCTAAAGGCTGATAAAGAGGTTAAAAAATTAAAGAAAGGAAATAAAAATAAATAAAAATAAATAAAAAAGCAGCAGGAAACAAACTTTTCACAAAGAAAATAATGGTTTTCCTAACTGGATTTTAAGAATTGAGTTGTTTTAGGAAAGGCAACAGAAAATATATCAAAAGGACCAGTGATAACCACAAAGAACAGTGATAAACACTGAAGCCTGGTGACAAAACACTGTACAGTGAACACTTCCTAAATGCAACTTCAAAAGTCCATGGTTTCCAAAGCAGAAGTCATTTCTCCTTGGCTTGTCTGTTGACTCTTTTTCCTGACACTTCACACACTTATTGCAAAATAAAGTCTCTTCTGAGAGTGTCATATTACACATTCACATTCAGTGAAATCACACCCTCAGTATTTTTTGGTTTTGCCTTTTTTTTTCCCCCAAGTAGAACTCTCCTCATAAAACAGTAGAATAAGAACAATTCATTCAAAGAGCAGAGTAAATCTCGTTAAATCTTTGTCCTTAACTTGGGCAGACTAACCCAGATGAGCTCAAACCCAGCCTTTCCAGTGGGAGCCTTCACCTGAATTCCAGTGCCTGCACACCTGGGACTGTGTCACCTGTGCCAGCAGAGCTCACCAAGCTTTTCTCAGAGGCATCCCCCTCCTTCTCTCCTGTGCCTGGGTGATTCCATGGTGGAAAACCCGCTCTTTTGCTGGTTTTCTGCAGGAAAACCTGCTCTTTTCCTCGTTTTGTGCAGGCAAGGAGCATGAGCAAGTCCTTCCCCTTTCGGTGGCAGCAGCGAGTTGCGAGAGCAGCCCGGCTGGATGCTGAAACCATACCTCACATTTCCTAATCCGTCTTTCTATTTTTAACCAGAGTCATTTCCCCCACCTCCTCTGCCATGCAGACAGCTGCAGAAAGCAGCTGGAGACAACAGGGTGCTCCATCAGGGCAGTTTTCCTGGCAAAAAGCCATCCTCAGGCCAGAGCAGAGTGCAAAAAGGGACATTTCCAAGGTGTGCTCCTTCTCCTTGTCCCTTGTGGTCACAACACCTCTGAGTGCACGCAGAGTGTGGCAACCTGGTTACCCAAAGGACCGTGGCTCACCTGAACTGGCTGAGATCCCATCAGCACCTCTTGTCCCTAAAATCTCAAAGGAGAAAGGCTCCAGCAAGGATCCAGAGCATGGATCTGCTCCTGTACCGGGCTCTCCCAGGCCAGGGAGGAGGGACCATCCTGCCCTCTGTAAGGCAGCATCACCACCTGACACAGCATTTGGGAATACTTGCTGGGGTGTCCCCAGCACAGAGACCTCCTTCCACATGCTCACACCTCCTGGGGAAAGGTCTGGAGTAACCTTCTTCTCCAGATTTGGATATCTCCTCCCCCAGGCACTTGGTGTCAAGTGTCAGATACACAGTAACCCCTGAATTCTCTCCTCACATGGGAGAGCAGCTTTAAAAAGCTAATGTTCAGCCAGGCTGTAAAGTTAACCAAGCAAAAAGGGCACTTTCCTGAGCAGCAGGAGCAGTTTGGAGCTTTCCCAGGCAGCTGGAAAGCCAGGCACACAGAGCACAGGCTGTGCAGGGTGCTGAGCCGTGCCAAACTCCCTGGCACAGCATTTGGGGCATGGGCTGGCACTGAAAGTGAGGTCCAGCTTTCTGAGCTGTGCCCTCCAATTGGACCCATTTTCTCCCTGGAGTTGCCTGAAAATGCCCTGGTAGGATCAAGCAGACCTTTGGCAGAAGACAGCCAGGCTGAGAGTTTGGCACTTAAAACAAACCCGGCTTAGGGGGGGAAAGGCACAACTCCAACACCGACTCAGGGAGCTTAGAGGAGTTTAGCTGGAAGTTTTGAGTCATGCTTTTGGACATGGGCAGCCAGAACAGCTTAAGCCCTCCCTGAACCCTTTTTCTTTTGTTCAGGCAACGGCTGCAAACATCACAAATGGAGCTACTTCTGCTGTTGTCCATGTGCTACAGATTTTCCATGCTTTAAGTTACTCACACAAAACAGACTCACTGCCAACACGATCAATCAAAATGTAAAGTGAATGCAGACAGGACTGTACACACTCTAAGTATTAAATGTTTCAGAGAAGCCCATCACTTACATGCCTGTAGAAACAAAAGTCAACCAAAACAGAAATCTGGTGTGGAATTAAGCACAGCAAGACCCACAGCAAATCTTCCCAGCTCAAACGGATTTGAATTACAGGATGCCAGGAAACTAAGCTGCTGAGCAAAACACTCCATCAGCCATAAACCCATGTGAAATTACATTTCATTAATGAATGACAGTGTTTACAAGTAAGTAAATGCTGTGTTTCCCCTCTGCCTTAGCTGGAGCTGCTCTCTTAGGAAAAAGACCGCAGGGTGAACAGGTCCTCTCCCATCATTAATCCACTGGACTTTGTTAACAGGCACAGAAACCACAGCAGCAGCAAACACCCACGTGTGAAACCAAGATCTGCAAGTAATTTCATTTCTTACTTTCTGGAAAAGGGGAGTTTCAGGGGTAGGAAACCTCTTTAGCATCTTTTACAGGCACCAGGCCCGTGGGTTAATGATTTACCTGACAGTGCTGTTAAGCAGATTAGATAAGAGTGGTTTTGTTATGGTCTGTTTTCCTGCCTTTGTCTGTATAACCAAATCAACTGGCAAATGAAGAAGGCAGGGTATTACCTGACAGAGCAGGAAGAAGTTAATGCTCCTCTCAGCTTGCTCACACCATCTTGCCATAAAAACACATTTTTAATACAAACACACATGCCCATCTATACACACACAGCCTAAAAACCAACGCCTGGAGTAGCTCTTCTCTGTGTGTACACTTGTGTGTTCATATACACAAATATATGGATAAAAAACACACACAGATGAGCCACTGCAGGCAGTTTGGTTTAGTTTCTTCCCCATAAGTCACGTTAAAAAAAAAAAAAACAGCCTTGACTCATCGCTCTAAATCTATTAGAAAGCTTCCAGATTAAAGCATTGAGTTCCAAAGAGGTTTAGGATGAGCAGAAAAGGCGGCCGTGCCCAAAACGCACAAACAGGATCACAGCCCCTGGAAAGACTCCGCAGCGGATCCAGGGTGCAGCTCACAGATAAAGTTCTGCTCCCCCAGTGCCCTCCGAGAGGGTTTCTGCGCTCTCCCAGTGACTCACGGGCTGCTCACACCCAGGGCCACCCTGCTGTACACCCGCAGCTCTGCTCACGCTGCGGGGCAGCGGTGACACCGTGACACACGCGGAGCAGGCACAGGCACAGCTGCTCTACGACATCACAGAAAGTCTAAAACACTTTCGCGCTCCTGCTCCTTCACACAAACACCGCACACAACTGCCCTGGGGATACGCGGCAGCAGTCAAGGGGGAGGTCAGGCATGGCGAGAGCTGCCCGAGGTGCCGAAGGGGACAGCAGATTGTTCCTGGCTTTTAGTTTTTGCGGGCAACGCCGTTGCCACGCTGTGTAACTCTGGTTATCTCCCGCAGGCGTGCTGCGAACAAACTTACAAACCCAGAAACCAGGGGGAGATTCCGTGCCCCAGCAGGAGATGAAGCTGCCTGATGGAAACACAACCCTGACGCAACCCGGGGGACAAGCCACCGGCAGGTCACTGCTGTCCCACATGCTGGCAGCTTGGCTGGTTTCTAGTAAAAAACACCCCAAGATAAACTAAAAACTAAGATTAAAACCAAGCAGTGAACAACAAAGTAACCACAAGCTTTAGCGCCACTTTCAAAAAAGTCGCCCAAGCAAAAAGACAGCCAGCTCCCCAGGGCTGTGCTGCAGACCTGACTGTACCCAAGCCCCTCTGTGGCTCCCCAGCAGCAGCCAAACACCCCTTTACACTCAAACGGGACTATCCGGAGAGGAAAGCTACTCACTGCTGGAAATGAGGCGGCAGAGAGCAGCAGAAAACGCGGCTTTTCCCCTTCCAGCCGCAGCCAGACGCGCCGCTCCCGGCAGCAGGACGGGGACACGGCGGCGGCGCGGCCACTCCCGGAGCGCGCCCGCGCCTCCTTCGCCAGCCCCGACTTCCTTCGCCTTCAAAGTTGCCTTTCAACTTCCCCCAGGCTGGGCTTCTTCAGTGCTCCTCTCCCAGCTGCTCGCTAGCCCCGCGGGAAGCGCCTGCGGAGGGAAATGGGGAGAGGTGAGCGGAGATCCAGAGGGGATGGAGCGACAGCGCTCCCGCCGCTCCTTCCGCGGGCGCGCCAGTGCGTCAGCACCGGGAGAGGAGGGGACGGAGCGCCCGCCACAGCAGGAACATCGGCAGCGGGAGGAGGAGGAGGAGGCCGGGAGTGCCAGCACGGCCGCGGGTGGTGCAACAGCTCCCGGCAGTGCTGCTCTACCGGCAAACAGCACCTAAAACACGAGGAAATGGGTACATCACCCAAGTTCAGTCTGGTGATTCCTACTGTACGCGCGGAACGCTTTCATTAAGTGTCACTTTTGAAAGCTGAAAAAGTCACTGCAAGGAGGAAGGATTCCTTTTTCCAGTATATACGAGTACCAGATGTTAAGTCCTACCCTACAAATTAAAAAAAAAACCCTCCACCAAATAGAAAAGTCGTGTTCTACCACACTAACACGAAGGAAAACAACCAATTCCCCAAGCTTTCCATGAATTTTTTGGCTCCGTCCCACTGCTGCCATCAGCAGCAGAGTCCCTGGCCAGGCAGCATCACCACCCCCCCAGGGCTGGCGTCCAGCCTCTATCCCAAAGGCCACAGCACGGACTGGAAGCACGCAGGACCTCCTGCCCGCGGATCCAGCGGGAAAGGCTGGTGAAAGCATCCCAGGTGAGAGGGAGCAGAAGATGCCTGCTGGCCGCTGCCTCGGGACAGCGGGGAGTTGCTGTAATTCCGTACAAAACCACAACACAGAGCAGGCTGAGTCATGTTGGGAAGACTGATGGGATGAGCAGCGCTGGCAGAGTTTTCCAGCAGAGCACGGACTCTCCCGAGCCTGCTGGCTGCTGGATCCAACAGAGACACTGTCCAGGAGTGAAGTCAGAAGCGTAGGAAGCAGCCTGCTTCCATTCCACAGATTAAATAATGTGGAAACTGAAAAATAGGCACCGGCAGTAACAAATAGCAGCATCAAGTTTTCTGAGCTCCATCCCAAGAGAGGGAGCCTGTTGCCAGGAATACTGAGGAATCTGAAGAGCCACATCGAAGAAGCACAGGGTGGAAAAAGAATTTTCAGAAGCTGAACACAGAAATCCTTCTACACTCATCCTAACATACAGAAAACAAGTATTTTAAAGGAGTAGCTGCTTTGGGGTTTTTAATAGATCCACGCCCCTGAACATGGCCCAGCAGTGCTTTTTCCTAACACACAGAGGCAGCCAAGTATCCAGTGGAACAATGTGCTCATCATCAGCTTCTCCACAAAGTTTAGACACCTAAAAACGGCCCATGGTCAAGTCCAACTCAGCCCATTTTCTTGAAAATCTGAGGAGACATGGAATGAGGCACCAGTGAGCTCTGGTTTTTTGGTTTTGTTTTTTTGGGGGTTTTTTTGGGGGGTTTTTTTTTTTTTTTAAGCAGTCTTTTAGTAACTGGGCTCTGTAGCACTCAACAGATGTTATCTGCCCAACCTGGCCCCCTTTCCAGGAGGGATTCTGGAGTGAAAACAGTAATTGCTCATCACCTAAAGATTCCTTAGACTTAATTCGGTCGGTACCAATCCTGCAAATCCCTCCCAGTGAGAATATATATAAGGAATCTACAGCTTAATTAGCAGCTGCCACAGGCCAAGGACTCCTTGTTATGCTGACGACACTCATGTCTGCTTTGGGCCCTCACACCTCTCAGGACAGCAGAAGTGACCTGGTGAGGCCAGAGACCAACTCAGTACCTCCCTCCAGACAATAAATGCGTTCATATTTGACAGAAATGCCCTTGTGTTCCTCCAGCAGATCTTATCTTGGCGATATTTTTCCCCCCATGATCCAGGCCTGCGTGAGTTCAGTGACCTCGAGGCACGTAACAAAGGCAGCCCTGTGTTCCCACGAGTCAGGTGGGGCCAGAAGGGAGAAGAGAAGACAGCTGAACGAGTATTACAGGTAATTAAAACTCAGCTTTGAGAACACCTTTTCAACCACGGCGCATTTAAATACTGCATGTGTCCAGACAGATACAACATAACACCCTGTAAAGCCCTAAACAAATAAAAAGAAACACAGTGAACTCTTCCACTGCATGTGCAAAGGAGGGTATTTTTTTCTCCTACACAGTCCAGCCAGGACATATTTAGCCTAAGGGCTGAAAGAGAGGACAGCCTGAGCTGATGACATAATTTTCTTTCTATAGGACTGAATATCTGGGACTACTGCCCTCAGTTCAGTGGCTGTTGCTGTTTCACCTCTACCTTCCCCCATCCTGCTTCAACAGGAAAGTGACAATCAGCCAGAAACGCCTGAAGAACAGAGATGGCCACAGAGATGTTGCTTCTTTCCCACCACAACATGAGCAATGTGACAAGAACCAGATCTGAGGCTGACTGCTGGCACTGAGGAGAAAGGGCTGCTACCCCAGTGCTGCAGCGCTGATGTGTCTTGATCATTCAAGCACCACATGCATTTGGAATGCCCTTCCAAAGGCCTGGGGAAAGGCCTTCCTTGCCTTGACAGCTTAAATCTGCCTGAATATCAAAACCAGGCAGGTTATGTTGAGCTCCCTTTTTCCCTACCCATCAGAAAAGAATTGTGTATTAGCAGGTGAAATCCAGCACTGAGGGTGGCAATGAAAGTCTTGAGCAAGTGAGAAGAAACTGCTCAGAATCCCAGGGTCCCTGAGGCTGGAAAATCCCTGCCAGCCCGTGGAGTCCCAGCTGTGCCCAGTGCCCACCTTGTCCCCAGCCCAGAGCACTGAGTGCCACCTCCAGCCCTTCCTGGGACACCTCCAGGGATGGGCACTGCAAAGCTCCCTGGGCAGCCCCTGCCAAGGCCTGAGCACCCTTTCCATGCAGAAATTCCTGCTGCTGTCCAAGCTGAGCCTCCCCTGGCCCAGCCTGAGGCCCTTTCCCCTTGTCCTGTCCCTGTTCCCTGGCAGCACAGCCCGACCCCCCCTGGCTGTCCCCTCCTGGCAGGGAGTTGTGCAGAGCCACAAGGTCCCCCCTGAGCCTCCTTTTCTCCAGCCTGAGCCCCTTTCCAGCTCCCTCAGCCCCTCCTGGGGCTCCAGCCCCTTCCCAGCTCCGTTCCCTTCCCTGGACACGCTCCAGCCCCATCTCCTTCCTGGACTGGGGACCCAGCCCTGGAAGTCCCTCAGCAGGGCCAGCCCAGCACTGTGACTGTGTGATGTGTTCAAAGGGCTTCACATCAGCAATGTAAATTTATACATCCACCTCACGTATCCCAAAAAACCTTCAAAGCATTTTGTCTGTCCATTCAAGTAACTTGTCCAGGTCACTGACACATCAGGAAAAATGTGCTACAGGAGAATTATAAAGCTACTCTGACCTTAAAAGTGTTTGCATTAAAACACTTAGAGAAGTAATGTGAAACTTTATTATTACATGTGTAATTAAATAATAATTATTATTTCATCTCTGTTACAGCATTAAAAGCCATTACAACTTCTTATGTGAAAGGCAGTTAATGGACAGTTGCTTTTGAAACTAAAAATATTGACGTTAATGGGGTTCTGAGAGAAACTAAAAAATAAGAAACAGCTGAGTTTAAAATCTCTGAAGTGCTATCAGAACAACTTCCAGAAGCAGCAGGTAAAGTGCTTAGGTGTGTTTGCTATCACAAAGGGAGATTCCAGAGCGCTGATGCGCTCATCAGTTCCAGCAATGAAGTTTCCCGGGAGGAATGCTGTGTCATGTAACTGTGACTCACAGAGCAACGTCCGCAGGAAACCACTCTTCTCCCTCTCTCCCTATAAAAAGCTCAGCCTTGCCTGTAAGTTGAACTGAGTTCCCTGAGCAGAATTCCTCCAATTTCAGCATCATGTGCTCCAGCACGGATGCAAGAGCTAAGGTGTATTTTAAACCCTGGCAGCAAACCAGAATCCTCTGGAAAACCAGTGGGAAGCTCCTCCTGCTCCTGGTTCAGCAGGGAGTTCAGAAACACCTCGTGCTGCTGTGTTTGGACACGTGGTTGTCCTTTGCCCTCAAAGCAGTTTGGCAACCAGTCTGGGATGCTCTGCCTGGCTGAGCTGATTCCAGGCACTCCCAGTCCACTCCAATCCTACAATGCCCACCCATGGGACTGCACTCATTGGGACAGCTCTGAGGCATCACACACCTTCCTGTGCACACACTGTCACTCTAAAGGGATGTCAGGAGCAGCAGTGGCATCCCAAACCCCTGGAGCTCCACCAGGATATGGGAACTCACGGTGATGTGTCTCCACTCCATGCCGCTCGTGGTTCAAGCAGCTCCTGGAGTTCTCACCTAATTTAAATGGATAAAATCCTCACTCTGCTCATTGTGTCTGTTTCCCAGGTGCCCAGACTTCTGCTCTTTTTGGTTCAAGGCTGTGGCTGACCTTTAGATCCTTGGAGAAACACATGGACCTTCCCAAGGGCGGCTCTGCAGGGCTGAACACCCAGCACCTCTCCAGGGAAAACACTCTGGAATGGCAATTCCATGCAAGTGCAATCACATATCCAGGTCAAAGCAAGAATTTAATACCACTGAAGTCCCTTTTGAGCCTGGAAGAGTGAGGCTTTACATAAAAGAGAAAAATAGAAACGAGGCACCCTTTACAAACCCCCCACTCAACAATAAGGACAATTTCACAGGCAGGGTATCATTCCCATGTGACTGCATCCCACATCCAACACTTCCAGCTTGGGAGTGCCACTCCTATTCCCTGATCCACTTATTCTGCCCTCCCAGAAGTCTCATCACCCAGGTGTGTTAAAAACCTCCAATTAAAAAAGTCACCGCCTCAAAATTCTCATTTACTTCTGTCTCTTTCAAACCCAAAATTTCAACCCAGAGGCCTCTGTTACAGAGAGTTTCCTCACCAAATAGTGTAATGGGACACAGAATGGTGTCCCACTGATTTTTCCATCGAAACAGTTTGCTGTTTTTCCCACACCTTGGGAAAAGGCTGCTGGTTTGTATACCAGCAGTTTGGAACTATCAAATTCTCTGGCTTCTTTAAGGCCATAGAG